AGTACAGTAGGTACACAGTAGGTACATGTAGTACAGTAGGTACATGTAGTACAGTAGGGGGATCAACTCTTCCTCGAGCACCAAACGTACAACACCGCGAAACATACGAATTTCTGCTGTGTAACAAGCGCCTTAACTGCCTACAGTTCACGCTAACGTGCTTTGGCGATTAGTCACCCTAATTTATAAAGAGTCTCTATGAGAGAGTCGGTCATGTCGGTCAGTTCGCTTCCCGCTGCCCACACCCCAGCTCGTTCTGTTTCAAGATGAAGACTTACTCCGCTGTTGCCGGAGCGTGCTTCATGCTGGCTTACATGTCTCCAGCCCATGCCATCGAGCGCAAGTTGATTCTAGGTGGAGAGATCATCCCAGCAGGCACCAAGACTTACACGACTGGTATTCGCCGAACTGCTAGCGGTAACAACGTCTGTGGTGGGACTCTGATCTCTCCCACCCATGTGATCACCGCGTCACACTGTAGCAGCAGCTACGACATTCGCTGGGTGTCCGTGGGCTCGCACTATATCAACGGAACAACCGACGGAGAGCAGATCAAGGTCGTGTCCATCATGAACAATCCCAACTACGAGTCTGGAGAGTTCCCAAACGACTACGCTATTCTTGAATTAGCGAAGCCTAGCTCCTTCACACCGGCAAGGCTTGCAGCCGGGGATGACTCTGATTTTGCTCCTGGTAAAACTGCAATGATGTTGGGATGGGGTTACACCTCAGACAACGGCACGGTATCCTACGAGCTTCGAGGCGTGGACCTCCCTCTGTGGGACGATGAGAACTGCACCAAAAAAATGGACACAGACAGCTCAATGCTTTGTGCTGGCGGAATCGCGAATAAGGATTCCTGTGAGCGGGATTCAGGCGGTCCGCTGATTCTTGAGACGAATTCGCAAGACATCCTAATCGGCCTCTCGAGCTGGGGTCCGTCTCCCTGTGGCTTTGACGGCGCTCCTGGTGTGTACGCGCGCATCTCACATGCTCGCCAGTGGATTGATTCCATTGCTAACGGGACCTGCCTTGCGTAGGAGAAACGTTCTCTTTCTTATGCTGAAGAATCCTTAATTGGGTTGGTCAATAGTGCTTGCTAGGGATCAATTTTTACTTACCACAACTAAGAGCTCGAACTATATTACATGTATACATGTATGTACAATACAAAGAGTGACTACGTTTTACAAACCGTCATATGCTACACTACAGGGTTCAGTAAACAATACAGAGAGGGACAACGTTTTACATACCGTCATATGTTACACTACATAGTACACAACATAGTACAGTAGTAGTAGTACCGTAAAATGATACACTACATAGTACACTGCAAAGCTCAATAGTACCGTAGTATCTGGTGCTAATACTGATATTTAGAAAAGTTTTATCTTCTGCCCCGATGATGACTGGCCATCTCGATTTCCAAGGGTGCTGCTTCACCGTGCCATGAACTTCGTGTAGGCTTCACGATGAAACCTCCACTTTTATTACTACTGTAGACCGTATTAATATTTACGTTGTAAAAATCATGCTTGATAAAAACACAATATCTTTTTTCTAATTACATTGAAAAATGCGTTCTTTGTTTTCCTTATCTTTACCATAAGTGGGTCAATTCCATCAATTACACCCACCAAGTCAACGTACCCTTTTACCTACCTTGCGCTCAAGATACTTTTCAATGTCCAGTATTCCTTCCACGCCCAAGAGCACACTTAGCGACGATGTCGTCGCCGTGGCTCAGCAACCGCGAGGAGTTCAACCACAGTCAAAGCAGCAGGAGCAACAGCAACAGCAGCATGGCAAGCGGTGAGCTACTGGGCGAACGCCAGCCTCTGCTTGGACCGGGAAGCCCGGGTACGCGCACGGCTTCCGCTCTCTCCCCCAGCACAGGCCGTACATCCGACCGGTTGCGACGCAGCATCCACCAGGGCGAACACCACCGTCGCCAGTGCACCGATATTTTCTTCCTGGGCTGCCTCGCCACCTACTGGATCGGAATGGTGGCGCTAGCCATCACTGCCTTCTCTCACAAGAGTAGCGTGAGCTTCGCCCAGGAGATCAAGAGCGGAGTGGACTTCCAGGGCCAACCGTGTGGACAGCATCAGTTCGTTTACTTCCCAGACTACAAGACCAATCCGGACTTTGGCTTTTGTGTGGAGAGGTGTCCTCGCAAAGATGGCGAGATCATGGCGGTGCATTTACCTTTGGAGACGGGGAAAACTGTCAATGGAACGCGCGCAATGCACCAAGTTCAGTTCACATCGTACGCTACGCATCGATGGGCGTACGTGTGTGCACCGACGGAAGGTTCGTGGGGGGATTGAAAGTGATGACATTGTGGTGGTTCTAACCTTTTCTTGGTTGATGCAGTTAATTCGGAACAAGTGATGATCCGCCAATTGCAAGACACGTTAGGACGCTTTGTGGGTGCACTTGGAAATGTAAGGGAAACGTGTCTCACCTTTTTGTAGCTTCTATTAGGGTGCTGACGCTGTCCGTTACAGTGTTGGCAGGTGCTAATGATCGCAACAGCAATCTCGCTATCGACTGCGGGTCTGTATTTGGTGCTGTTACGGTATTGCGGTTGCATTAGCGTGTTGTTGTCGACGGCAGCGATCGAATCGACGCTCGTATACTGCAGTTACCGGTTACTGCATGCGGCGTCGGACCCGTTATCGTACGAGAATGACCCAGTGATGTTGAGCTCCCTCCAGATCAGCTCAGTCGTCATGTGCTGTGCGGCCGTTCTGTTCTTCCTGTTTGCACTGGTCAACATGTCTCGCTTGCTGCTTGCTGGCGCCTTTATTTCCCATGCAGCACGAGCGTTGTCCCAGTTGAAGCGACTATTAGTGCTCCCCTTCATCTCCTACGTGCTGCTCATGCTGCTGTTTGGCTGGGGAATCCTCGTGACTGTCTGCATCTTCGGAGCCGGAGAGACTTCGAGTCGGATCGCGACTATCTCCGCCACTTCACCGTCGACGATCCGGGTGGTTACCGAGTCGTTCGAAGTCAGTACGAAGCTGCGATGGCTGTTTCTCTACCATCTTTGGGGCATGTACTGGTCGGTGAACTTTGTGTTGGCAATTGGAGAGATGGTCACGGCTACGGCAATGTCGTTGTGGTATTTCGCTCCGGAGAACCGAATAACGGGGTTGAAGGAGTTTGACGAGCCCGATCCAGTGTCTTACTCAGCCCACACTACCCTCAAGTATCACCTCGGGACGTTAGCGTTGAGCTCGGGATCCGTAGCGCCGGTGGAGCACATCCGCTCGTTCTTCTTGTACCTCGAAAACAAGAACGAGTTTGATGCCAACGCAGTCACGGAGTTTGCCACCAAGTGCTGCTGTGTGAGTTGTGTTTGAGCTTGTGTGTTTGAAGATGGACGGTAGCTCTCACGTTTGGTGTTGCTTTGCGTTGTAGTGCTGCATTTGGTGCTTTAAGAATTGTCTCAAGTATATCTGCAAGGAGGCACTTTATGTCACTGCGATCCAAGGCACGAACTTCTACACGTCTGGAAAGGTACTGATTTAGAAGCGATATCTCCTAAATTTGTCACCACTGAAAAGGATTTTTTTCCTGCTGGTTTTGTAGTTGGCGTACACGCTGATTTCGTCCAACTTGATTCGCGTGGGAGCGCTCAGTCGTATCGGCCATGCGTCGGTTCTCCTCGGCAAGCTGATCGTGTGCACCACTACGGGGCTGATAGGGTGGTTCCTCCTTGAAGATGTACGTTGGACACACCTTTTTGCGGCAGAGGCTAAGTGGATTTTTAGGATACTCAAGACCAAATCTCACGCTGTAATTTCTGTCATGATAGACCCCCTCGCCTGTTCTCCCGCTGGTTGTCATCATGCTCTTCTCGTACAGCGTAGCACACGCTTTTATGACGGTGAGCTGCTTGTTGTGGGCGATAGAGATGCAAATTTCCGATACTGAAAAATTGTTTTTTTTCTGGGTGGGGACTGACAGATCTACGAGACGTCGATCAACATGTTGCTCATGTGCTTCACACTGGACGAAAACTTGCATGGCGGTCGTGGCAACTCGGCTCATGCGTCGGCGCCACTTATTCGGTCGGTGAACGATCACTTGCGACCCAAGTGGCAAACGGCCTTTTAGGAGCTCAAGAGCACCTTTTTATTTTGATCGCTTATATACCACTACATGTAAGTTACATGTAGATTTTCGCGTCAATACTGCAAGTTTCTGTCGTTGCGAAAGGTCGCAGCACATGGCTACATGTCCACTTACGTTATCGAAGCAACACAGTTTAACTGTGTTCCTTCGATAGCACAGTTATACAGTGTTGCGTCAAGCGCTACGCCTTTTGAAGTGCCGGCCGAGTGCAGACCCAGGCAAGCCCCAGTCGAGCAATGGGCAACCGCGCACTGATCGGTAATACCAAGAAGCCCGCAGAAGTTGCATCAGTTGCCTTCAACAACGCTGACCACGAGGTTAATGCACATTGGGAGCCTATACCCACTGGTCGAATCCTAATGACAGCGTGCATAGTTTCCGCGTTGAATTAATAGAAGCCCGGTTGAGTGCTTCGAGGCTACAGTCCAGTTACTCGACAAAAGGCGCGATGCTCTCAATCGTCTCTGCTCAGGGATCCTTGCATGTATCTAATACATTGCCCAGCGCGAAAAAAGCATCTTTCGCACTCTTTTTCGCGACCAAGCGATGCTTTCGCGCACAGTCCAATTGTACCACAGCCATATTTTATTTATGTCGGTCTCCTTCGACGGCACGATGCAACTGACCACAAAGTGTCGCAAAACATGCGTTTTCACTCAATCAGTACCTCTCAGCACATTCTTCGTGGCATTCCATCTTCAAAACTACTGATTTGTGTTAGATCAATTACATTTACCACACCATTTCACGTCACAGATCCAGCCAACGCTCACACATTCCCGTTACTTCCAGGCCGAGGATACATCGGTCGCCATGACAATCAGTACACGCGCTTGACAACGGCCACAGCGCCTTCCTGATATTACTTTCCCGTTCGGATCGTGGAGCCGCTTCCGTTACGTCGCGCAGTCTGCAGGATTAACCTCAGCTGCCTATTTACCTCTCCAGGATCCTTCTTCTTAGCGTCGGATTTCTCACAGCCATGGAGCCTGCGCCGGCATCGCCGAAGCGCTCGCAGTCCGAACAGCGTCTGGACGCAGCAGAGAACGCAACCAACTTGCCGCATTCCAAGTCCATGTCTGCGCTACACTCGACACAGCAATTCCCAGAGCCTAAAGATGAAGAGGAGGAGGAACTTAATGCCACCGAGACACCCAGAGATGAAGACGCGGTAGTTGAAGGGCATCCAGACGACTCGGTGGCAACTCACTTGCAGCAACTGGAGCACAGACACGACCACTTTAAGGAGACGTCGCGTGCTGCATCGTGCTCGTCGCTACACCGACACACGTCTGCGCACTCTCGAGTCCATAACCCCTTACGTGGAGATACAAACCTCAAGATCTTTCTGCCCAGTGACAGCTTGGCGCTCAAAGCCATTCTATCGCCGAAGAACGCGTCCAGGACAGCGCAAGAAGGCGATCCTGAAGCCAAGACAGACTCCGGTTCGTCCAATCTGATCGACAAGTTGCTGTTCCGCAACATACCAGCGCCCATGACCCCCAAGAGATCCGTCGGCAGTTTCGTAGAAGAAGATCTGGACGCTACAAACGTCGTCCACATGAACTCGAACCTGCCGCCGCCGCCATTCGCCAATATGTACGCGTGCGAATCCTGTCGCGAGGACATTGGCTCTCTGCTGTCCAAAGGCCGACACCACTGCCGCAACTGTGGCGGCTCGTTCTGCGCCAACTGCACGACCAGGACGATCGTCGTGCCCTACCAAGCCTACCTGACACGAGGAGAACTGCGCGTGTGCGACGGCTGCTATCACCGTATCCAGAATTTCCAGAGACAGGTGAAAAGCACGAGTGTCACGTGGAGTGGACTGCAGCCGCCGCCCAGCAGCGTGATAGTCCGGGACTTTGAGCTGTTCGAGGACGAAGCGCCCGTGTCGATCTTCAACTGCGCGCTGTTCCTCGAGACGACCCCGTTTTACGGACACCTGGTGCTGACACGCAAGCGCCTGTGCTTCCAGAGCTACGTCGACGGCAAGAAGCGTAAAGTCGCGTACGCACAGATCGTGTCGCTTCTGAAGCCGCAGTTCTACTACATCAACGGGCTGCAGGTCAAGACGAAGCGGAAGGAGACGTTCTTCCTGGCCGAGTTCAACGGCCTGCGCGATACCTGTTTCCTCCGCCTCGACCAGCTGATTCGAGCGTACCAGGAGGCGAGTAAGCGCAAAGATTCGGGGCCAGGGAAGTCTCCCAGCTCCAAGGAACTGCGCAGACAAGCGCTGGACCGCAGACGCTCGTACAAGTTGATTTCCGAGCATATCGTGAGTAGCGGGACCTCGGCCAACGCGCCTCTGCCGTCGACGTCTGCGATTTCGACCGTGGGGTTCATCGATGAAGACGACGACGACGCAGATGTGTCTTTTCAGTGAGGACGGAGGAGGCCACACAGACGACGGCAGGTCCACAGCGAGTGACGAAGAACCGTTCGAGCCGCTACCTCCAGACCCGCTGCTGGGGAAGATGACGGTGCTGCTGGACTGCGAGCTGCGTGCTGACGTCAAAAGCGTCTTCGATCTGCTGTGGAATGATGGTCCCGGGCAGGAATTCTCGCACTCGAACATGGAGAAGGCTCGAAACATTGACATCGACATTGAGTCGTGGAAGCCTCTTGACAAGGCTGACGCTGTGACGGCTGCGGAGGTTCGCAAAGGGTTTGAGATCTCCAAGGAGGACGACTACACGCTCTACCGCATGGTGCGCTCGCAACACCCTCCCAAGACCTCGTTCCCTGGTCTCCCGCCCTACGCGGGATGCACTCGAACCCAGCGATTTCGTCTGGATAAAAGCTCCAACGGCGGAGACAAGTGGGACCGCTTCGTCATCACAGAGCTGAACCGGATGAGCAAAATCCCCTTCAGCGACTACTTTGAAGTGGAGATGCGCTTCGTTTTCTCTCGGGACGGCAACAATTACTGCCATGTTCAAGCTGGTTTGGTGGTGAATTTCCTCAAAGCCACGTGGTTCAAGTCGCAGATTAACTCGTCGACGCGATCCGAGTCTAAAGAGGCTCTGGAGTCGTGGGCGAAACAAGCGATCGAGTTCCTGGAGTCTCAACGGAATCGAGTCGTGCCGCTCTCTCCGACGCTCCGAGCGCTATCTGCTGACAGTTTTAACGAGCTCGAGTCGGAACCAGGAAGTGCCGTTCATCCAGTTCTCAAACGTGCTGCGTCGGGTGCGACGCCTACTCTGAAGCGTGTGAAAAGTGCAGGAGACACCGCACTTTTTAGTGCGGAGCCTGCTGCCTCGAGTGGTGTGAACCGCGCTCAAGCCCCACGGTCATTGGTGCAGTGGCTACTGCTGGGGTTGCTGCTGTACGGACTTTTTCTCCTTCGCGGACATCAGGCACAAACGCAGCAGCTCACTGATGCGACTACAAAGTTACTAGAACACCTACAAGAGCAGCAGAGGTTCATGCACGAACAAGCTCTGAAGCTACAACAAAGATGCGAAGGTCCGTCTGTTGAAGCGGCTTTGGAGACGCTCCAAAGGTTCGTAGACACCTCAACAAAGTAACCCTACTATCTTCAAGGTTTATTTACTACTTTAGCATCAAATTATCTTAAGTTAAAAACCTTTCGATAGTAGTATCCAAACCTTTGTTAGTGCGGCATACTACTTTAAGGGGATGATTCTCAAGTGACGAAAACTTTCGCAAGTTTTTACTACGTACTGTAGTAGTAGCTATCTACTATTAAACGTAGTACTATTTAATAGTGGACACACCACGCACTTGATCCATACCCGCACCAAAATCGTACTACCGGTAGTACTACATAGTATTGGTTTTACATGAAACAGGATCTGTCTGAAGCATGAGCATTTCATCTCATTACTGCGTTCACATATCCAAAAGTGAAAAAAAAAAAGTCTTGCATGGCAAGTGGAGACCGTTTGAAATGAGACCAGGCTTAGATGGTGGTTGTATTTCAATACTTAAGTATTGAAAACGGACTTCTGTAGATCTTTCCGAAGATTTCCTAGCCCGCGGTTGGAACTACAAACCAAAGCTGTCACTTGCGAATCACCGACCAACCCGAAAGATGTGTTTTCGCATGCAAAAACCGGTGGACCCCACTCGCCTTCTTGATCGTGCATTGCGTAAATGTTTTCATGAAAGTGTGCGCACTGGAGATATCACTGCAATGCGGCAAAAGCTGGAAAAAGAGCCTCTTCTTCTCAAGCGCGA